ATTACATGATATACGACAATCTAGTAGAGATTTTATCATTCATCTCAATTTAAGTACAGGTGTGAGTGTTTCCTCCAGAACAGCAAAAAAACACATTAGAATTAAGGGACTTCAGTAGATGTTTAGTTGCTCAAAACTTACAACTTATAAGAAATAACCAAAAGGCTGTAATGGGCATCAGACTTCAACCAACGTGATGAACAAAGCTGGAGGAGGGTACTCTTTTACAGATGAATCCAAAATTAAATTGTTTGCCAAAACACAACTTGGCTTAGGAAATTTGGAACAATATTTCATAATTATACATTGATAAAATTATGGTTGCATAAAAATAAGTAGCACTGCTATATTTAAAACAAATGCAAAATATTAGTGCAATGTACAACTTACTCACTTGTCTTTTGTATTTCCTGTTATAACATATTAAACCAATGATAAACTGTTCATTTTGTTGTAAATACTCATTGTTCTTGATTCCTATGTGCCTATCATCTATGCATTTCAATAACTATTTCTATGCTGCAAATCCCAAACTTGCTGTTATATTATTAGAAACATAGGACTTAAGTCAAGTCATCAGTATTAAAATACATTACAATGTTTACAGAGCACAATACAGGCATCATTATATTTTTTAAATTCTATTCAAAAAATCTATTTACAAAATGTTATTGTTGGATACAGTATTGTTAAAACATTAAATTGGTTACACAGTCCTGAGAATTCATGATGTTGATTACTTGAAATAAATGTATAGTAGAGATGGATGAGATGGGTATTAAAACTTATTGATGATGACAAAACCTTGTCGAAACGTTGTACATTTGCTGTTATGTTAAAATTATATTAAAGTTTTTTATCATTACCCATTCAAGCCGTCTCCAGCCATTATTAGTCTTAAAGTGGGATCCTCATCACCGAAAGAGAGTAATGCTTCTGGTCCTGACAATATTTATCCCAAGATTTTAAAAAGGCAAAGTAATGAGTTGGGGTTTTAACTAAAACCATCCAGACATTTCTAGCTACAGGGAAAATTCCAGTTAATTGGAAAGCAGTTAATGCAGTACCTATTTTATTTTTAAAAAGGGTGGCCTAGGAAATTAGAGCCAATGAGCTTGACTTAGAACTTTTGCTAATAAACTAATGGAATCCACTGACAAGGATAAACACCTGGAAGAATGGAAATTTGTTAAAAATTCTTATCTTGGCATCAGTAAAGATGTTTCTTGTCTCACTAATTTGGTTGGTCTGTTTCATAGATCTTTTAATTGTCTGAATAAAAGCACCCCAGTAATTGTTATATATATATATATATATATATCTAAACTTTCCGAAGGCTTTTGACACAGTTCCTAACAACAGTTTTTTCAGAGATGCTAATTTACTTGATGTAAAATAGAAAAGGGTTAATTTCTGCAATCACATTTCAGCCATGAGTGATTCTGAAATCTGCAGAGTAAAATGTATAAAATATGTAGTTTTCACTTATTTTGAATGATTTAATGCATGGCCAGTTTGTGCAACACCTATGTTTGATTAAGAGTTCTGTAACTACATGTAATGTACAATTTGTGGATGATTTAATTTTAGTTTACTTTGTAGGTATCGTTTAGATAATAAAGTTACCTGAAATTATTCTTTTTGTTTGTGTTCCTAATTTATGTGGCATTTTGATATTGGAGTTGTGTTCCAATATACAAGCATAATATATAAGGATTAAAGTTATTCTCATATTGTAATCATTGTGATTGATTTTTTTTAATTCTGGACATATCACATAAATTTTTGAAATAAAGTATAAAAAATGGAATGTAAATGAAACAATGTTTAGTGGAGTCAATGTTTCACTATAGTTAAGATGGCATCATCAGGACTATCATATATTTATGAACATTCTCATTAACCTTTTTAATTACTGAGGCAGTGGCTGGTTAGTTGATTGGTTGGTCAGAGTTTATTGATGCAAAGCAACATGGCTATCTGCACCAAAAAACCATTAAAGCAGCACCTGTTTTGGATGAACTTTGGAAAGTTCTTGAATATAAGGCTTTATGTATTGCCAACACTTATAACTTTGAACAAAATGAGTAAGGATATAGTGGAGAACTTTACCTGTTTCTTAAAAAAGAAAAATAAGTCACTAAACAATGAGGAAATTCCTGTTGAGTTGAAAGTTTGTCTGTTAATGTATGAAGCATATCCGACCTAAAGTAGAGGAACTGGAACTGAAAAATCTGACCATCATGAATAAACCAGACGAAGCACGAGATGGTCAGGCAAAGTGCAATGTGAATAAACACATCTAAAATATCAACTCTGGTCATCAACATCCCAGGAGAGAACACCCACCTCCAAACAAGAAAACCATCCATCCTAAACTAAGGAATGATAAAAAAAAATGGTTCAAAGACAATGCAACAATGATTGCCAATTGCATGTCTTCATGGGAACAACTAAAAATAGGAGTAAAACCCAGATTGTACAGATGCAAAGATCTACTTTGAGGTTATTGTGATTGGTTTGGTTAATTGCTTCTGCAGTATGAGAAGTTGACTGTGATAGCCCAAAGATCCTTCTGTCACTTTACTTGTTCTTATTTGTTTTATATTGCTATACTTGTGAAGTGTCCTCAGACTTTTTTAATAAAAAACTGGGAGGAAGACATTTTTTGTATTTGTTTATTTTGTGATATTTCATTTCATTTACAAATGATTAAACAAACAATAAATATACACATAAGTGTGCAGGTATATTTACTCATTTTGGAAAAGTCAGTAAAAAGAATGGTACTGGTGATGTTTATTACTTTATACTGCACTATTCTCACTTTTGAAACACTAGAGATGTAGTGCTACTGGCAAAAGAAAAGCTCTGGTTGGAGGGAACATAGGAAAAGTGTTGTCAATTGGCTGGATAATTTTTGAAAGTTTGAGGAGCAACAGAGTAAACATTAAGTTTCTAAGCTATGTGTCTTAATAAAAAATGTTTAGAAGATGGCCAGAGCTTTAGTTTTAATATATAAACAGCAGATATTATGTCATTAAGTGTGAAAGAGAATCCAATGTTTCCTTAACACATTTCAATCACATGAGCTAAAACCCCATTATACATTTCCTGCGACATTGTGTCTCTTTTCAAGCATTGTATTAAATGAAGTTTAGCAGAGATCGTAAGTCAATATCAAGCATATTATGTGATTTCTTGAATCCTGAGCATGTGATTTCAAGTGCTTTTCTGCTTATCTGTAATGGGATTTTTCAGTTTTTATTAGATCAGACAAAGTCATACGACTACCTTATTGAAAACTGAAAAAAACACTCATGTTATATTTTAAACCATATGATAAATGCCTTTATTTTACTTTTCTCCAATGTATTAAACAACAAACAAATGTACAAGAAAGATAGCAGTTTCTTTAACCACAGAGAAAGATTTTAAATGAGCAATCACCAAATTACTATACAAAAAACGAATTAAAGGTACATGGAATAGAAGTATGAAACACTTTAGTATTTGCTTACAATTAAATCAACAAACTTTCAGTACTGTTATGTTCATGGTAACATATAATGATGATAATTTGTTTTAACTTTGTTTTAGGTGCTGGAATATCAAGCTCACTTGTTAATCATCAGTTTTATTTTATATGAGCAGGATACTGGTATATCCAAGAATTTCAAAAGGGGGGGAGCAAATCTTAACATTCATATTTGAAGATAATTTATATTTATTTTTCATAATATTTAAACTTTATTATTTCCTTTACATTGGTTAAATGAGTGTTATAACATGCCACTTTATTAACATCACTCCATTACCACGAATCGCGACTATGCCAAAGTTGGAATTTTGGAAACCATGAATAAGGTTTTTAGTGAGCTAGATGTAAACTGAAGTTAAAGAACATAAAACTGCAAAAATTTACATACTGAAATTAGGAATTGCAGGAAAAACCTGGTGAAAAATAAATATTTTATGAAAAGAAACATAAACCATTCTACAATTATAAATTTTATAAAGCTACACATATTTGGTACCCTTACCAACATACTGTACATCATGAGAAGTTATGCTGTAAAACATAGCCTCGTTAGATTAGCAGTAGTAACACATTATTGTTGTTGCCAAGAATTAGATTATCTTAAGTTAATTGAACTACTTATAGTTTATACTTTGTTCTACTAGCAGGGTCAATAAGTATATCTTGTCAGCCATATTAGTAGAGACTAGTTTATACACAATCTTGAATTCTACTTTATCAAGGTTTCATGTGCACAGTCTATGTTGTGTACTTATAACAAAGAGAGGAATACTCCAACTTCCAAATCTTAAATTCCATCTGTATCAAAATAAAGTTAAGTTAAATGAACTAAGCTTAGAATTGGGTTTAAATGAATCACCTCAAACTCAAAGGACCACAAAGACTATATTGACTACTGCCACATACTGGAGATGAATAGATACATTTTTGGTTATATATATATATATATATATACACACGATTAGTTATATATATATACAATACATGCATATACATATATAACAGCTATCTGAGGCACATTGGGGTGATTATACGGACCATTGGAATTGTCATTTGTATATAAGTATCAAACATTTCCTTCACCACATTTGATTTAGCATTAGTTTTACTACACCTATACTGTAAACAGTGTCAGCTATACCATATACATAAACCTTCAGGTTACACTTAAAGGATATCGACTTATGTTATTGTTACTGTTATTGATGTACTGCAACTTGCAAATTCACGTTGCATAAAAACTTAATTAAGGTTAGAAACACAAAGGTAACTCCCCACTATTTTCATATTTAATGCTTATAAATACTCTCTTTTCGTTTTCCCTCAGTTAATAATTTAGTAATACTAATATTACTAAATAGTATTAGTATTACTGTCGTACTGATATTGATAAACTAATCATAAAGTGATATTGTTAGTAGTAGCAGCAGCAGTAGGCTATCGTGTTAGTATCACTTACCCAGGAATATGTAGCCTGTAAGTATAACCCACAGAATTACCTAAATAATGTAATATGCAATTATTTAAACGAAAACTAAATAATTTGCATTATTTACATCTTGAGCTTTGAATCGAAATTTGTAATAATATTTTTTACCAATCAAATTATCCTGATGCATTACAAAGTAAACCCTACATTTTTATATATACACTAACTTGCATTAAATTTTGACAGAGGGCTTTTCTACTATTTGCAAAAAAGTTTAAATATAAATAGAGTATAAATTCTAGAAGTCTAATAATGCACTTTGCAAATAAAGAGTAAATATATTAATAGCAATTGTACAATAAAAGCGTCTAAAAAATCTATACGCATTTCTTGAACAAAACAGAACAAGTAATATTTAAGAGTTAGTTATGAATAAAAACCTTCCCGATCGCTTTCGAAAGGTGGACCTTTCTTCTTCAGGGGCAAATTGAAAAAAAAAAGGTCCACCTTTCGAAAGGACCTGGGTTATGGGATTTTTATTCATTTCTATCAAGACTTCTTGACCCCACGTGTTTTTCTAACATCATAAGAGTTAGTTATGAAGTTCTCCCTTTTAAATGTGGAGGGAGCCTAAAAAAAAAAAGTGGAATTTGGAATTCGTTCAACCCCAGAGATTAACATCAAACACCATGCTTTTATCATTATACGTAACCCCCTCATCAATTCTTGGGTGGTGGTCAGCCTGACAACCTGTGTATTTGACTTCCAGGGGCCATTAAGTGCAAATATTAGAAAATATACATTTTTGCCCCTTTCATTACTATACTTTTTATCATTTGCCTTTTTAGTAGCAACATCAGACCATACAAAATACATATATCATTGTACAATACAGTATTATATATACTGTTACGCCTCCGTTCGTTAGTTAATTTTCCGTAAATTCGTTCCGACGAAACTTTAGCGATACAAGTCCTTTCTTAAATAAAACTGGTTTATTCTTTCTGAATATAACTTTGCGATACACTTAATTTCAATAGTCGCGCTATAACAAACGCTATAATTGTCAACGAACGTCTCACGTGCTCGCCTCAACAATACTCAGTTCAATTACACACACCTTATCCCGTCACGTTGTGACCGTCTTATATATACAAGACTAACACATATCTAGTAAACGCTAGAGCATTCGTGAAGGAACAGGATATTTCTAGAAGGACGTGGCGTGATACTAGTCACGTGACCTCGCTGACGTAACAATATGTTTTGAGCAACTTCTTTACAAGTATTTTATGTTGAGTTAATAGTTTAGTATACAAAAATTAAACTATATGGATAGCTCTGTGCTTTTAATGATAAATACAGAATATTCATTGCATTATGCAATATTTCCATGAGAATATGGAGGAAATATGATTATTTTTGGATTACATTTTTCATTATCTATGAACACTTTCTTTCCTGGATGTGGTATGTATAAAACGATCAAATGTGCATTATCAAAGCATAAACCGAAGTTCATTCAGCATTTTAGGCTGTAAGACCAAATATAGAAAACACAAGTTATTCATAATATTGCGGAAAATTGTATTTCAAAAGTAATAAATAATAGTCAACATACATTTGAAATGCTTGAAATGTAATGATTATATCATATGGTCTTCTAAATTAAAATGTTTTTGGATAATTACTATTGACAGAGTTTTTGCCGTTCAATGTTATCCCTATTTCCAATCTATATGCTTCAATACTCTATGAAACGATGTTATTATTCAAATGACTGTGTTGGTCTGAATAATTTCAATCTGGAGCAGTATAGGGATTAAAGCAAGCTACACCATAGCCCCTGCATGCATAGATGCACATAATTTTATTCATAGTGGAGGTACTATGTTGTACCTTTGCACTGTAGAAGGTCAGTGCATGTTTGTGGGATAATGGATGCTTAGCACACGAGAGTTGGCTCTAACTATCCTGTTGCACTCAAATTTCATCCATTGCCTAATGCAGAAGGGAGCTACAGCTTTGATTTCTTTACCTTATACCAAATCATTGCTTGCTACTGGGCACAACGAACATTTTGTATAAAGGCATTATGAGTTGAAGGTAGGGACTTTGGAGACTTTGATCTAAATAAAGAGGTACGAAGTGCATCCACAGATTTCAGGTTTAATGATAGGAAGTACAGCTGTATTAGAAACTGTTCAACCATTAATAACGTTTTCTCACTCAATACACTTACTCTAAGGCGAGCCAACAATGACGGGTTTCTCTTAAAAGCTTTCCTTCCTGATTTCTTGCCATATCCAACAAATTGACTGGTTGTATCGCATCCTCTTATTCAATGCAAACCAGGTAAAGCTTGGCAAGCTTCTGCTGGCAGAGATTGATGGATAGCATGGACTGGAATAAATCTCGCTTCTTCCTTGTTATCTACACACATCCATAGTCTTTTTTACAAAGAGGTCCTCACGGAAATGAATCAGTAACACAATTACATCAGTGCCGCAGCAGTGGACCAAAAGTCTGTCATAGCCCAGTTTGAAGCATCCACTGCAAGCCTCACCATTCTAGTGTCAGCTTCTTCCTGATTAGGCGTAAGAGGGTCTAACAGATCTTTGTTTGATACAGCTGCTTACTCAGTATCATGAAAACCACCTGTAGTGATGATGACTCTGTCTTTTGGAAAGCTTGATTGGGCCTTTTCTATCAAATAATTGGATAAGAAGTCAATAAAAGCATTCTTATTTTTGGGAAAATCAATGAAAGTACTTCACTTCTCAGTGAGAGGCACGTCTGGACTGTCTACTTTCCATCGTATTTGTCTGCGATGAGAGGCACCCTTGTGATCTCTTGTTCTTATTTTTGTAGAATCTGGTTTATAGTGATCAAACACGACATCAATCTGTGTACAGTTCTCACTAATTGGCTAAATACTGCATTTGTGAACACATCTGCCAGGTCTCCAAAAGTGGGTGTACCTGTAGTTTTCCATTGCTTTGCACTAAAGCCATTCCATCTATAATACAGTAGGTGGGTAGCTCACTTGAATCTGGCACAGAATGGCTATCATCTAATATGTGTCTCAGAACAGATTTGTCTGGTAAAGAAAATGTTCCATCAGGATTAGCAAATGAGAGAGAGAGAATTCAGACTTTAAAAGCGTCTCTAAGTCAATATTTCTGCCACCTTCTGCAACAACTACTATCCTTTGAAAAACGCCCCTGTTTGCTTTAATAGAAGCATGATTTTTAGTTTTTTAGTTAAGACTGCAGACTTTTTCTTCAGTGAGCTAATGGTCTTTGAATTCCTCTTTGGGATTTTATCAAAATATTGGTGCCTCTACCTTCTCCTGCATTACGCTGTGCAACAAATTGTTGAACCAATGCCTGTCCACGAACTTAGGCATTCAGGAGGTTATTTTTTACATCTTCTGCAGGAAGATCATTGGATGAGATGCATAAGAGGTATGGACCCTAATGCTCAAACAGATGTAATTGCTCAAACTATTTGGTAATCAACTCAACATCTTCCTCATCCCGCTTCAGTCTCCTCAATCCAATCTCACTACACTCACCCTCAACTCCACCGTCGATTCGGAGCATTTATCCAGTATCAGCTGCCAGGCAAGCACTGTAATTGTATGTAAGGTGCCACCTCTTTTATAGCTATTTCAGTCATCGTGATAACTATTATACTTCTTATTAACAATATTGCAAATACCAATTAGAAAAAATAATTTTCGTATGGAAATTAATGTCTTTTTTGTAGAAATAATGAACTTTCGTTGGAATAAATCAACATATGAATAATATAATTCTTTAGTTAGGCTCACAGACCCTTTCAAGTTCACCGCAAAACTAACTTCTTTCTCTCAAATACCTGTGGTATTTATTAGTGGATTGTGAAATGAGCAGGATTTTAGGGTGGTATTTGCACTTAATGATCCCTGGGAGGCAATGGAACTAGTTGTCATGGTGACCACCAACTTAGAATTGATGGGAGGGAGGTACATAGAATAATTTTAACATGCTGCTTTTTCCTCTCGGGTTGAACGAAAATGAAAAAAAATGTCTGGTTCCCGCCTCCACATTATATCATGTAGGGTTATCTCACAAAAAAAATCAGGTACTCAACATTTATGATGAAACGGCTTTTCTCAAATGAAGTAAACAAAAACAGTTTATTTATTTGTTTGTTGTTAAGCCCAAAGCTACACAATGAGCTATCTGTACTTTGCCCGCCAATGGTATCGAAACTCGGTTCTTAGAGTTATAAGCCTGCAGACTTACCGCTGAGCCACTGAGGGGGGTAACAAAAACAGATATAAATAAGATATGTATAAAAAAGTGTAGCCCTCGTGTAGCTTGGTGCGAAATTCAACAAAACAAACGAAGGTAAGGTTATGCTATAGCACATTCGGTTGCAAAATATTCATACACAGAGATCATACAGTTGTGTTCAGGTAGAAGATTTAGAATTTCCAAAACGGGGCTATCCCTTGTATTTAAAGGTATTTGAAAACAAAAATAGTGATGAACAAGTCGTACCCTACTCGTGGAAAACAAACGGAAGCGTCTTGTAACAGGTGAAAATCCACGAATACAAATGTCAGTGGAAAAAAATTGTCCGCGTTTCCTAGGCAATAGTACGCAACATGATCATATATGATCATGTTGCGTACTACGATCATATATGATCTCCGTCTTAAATAGCGACACAAGTCACATGTACACAAGTTGCTTCCACGACATATTTATCTAATCGTTGCATATCTCAAGCAAATGAAGAATAAAACTGATATTCATACTATTCCATACGAAACATAACAGCCAAGCCTTACCACGTTGTTATAGCCAATTTCGCATCAGTAAGATCTGTGCAAGTAAAATCTTGACCTTCTTGCAAATGTACAGGCACCAAAAGGCATTGCTGTCAATTTTGATGATCTGAACTAAAATTCAAAGGAGTTACATGTTGATATGCGTTCCATTGCAGTGTTGAAACAAAACTTTTTGAGCATAAAGTGTACTCGTTGAATTTATTACTTTCCATTTAGTTGTTGATAATCATCCTAGTAACTGTCACAAAGTCCGTTAGCCCTTTAGGAGTGGACTAGTAATTCTTAATTGCTATAGATTTTTGAATTTCGCGCAAAGCTACACGAGGGCTATCTGCGCTAGCCGTCACTAATTTAGCAATGTAAGACTAGAGGGAAGCAG